GCTCTTCAGTGTATAAGGACAGAGAATCTTCACTGTCTCCATGTTATACTGTTGACTGAAAAATCCAAGAGACCAAAAGCAGTGGGTAATTGTGCTATTTGCACAAAAGTGCTGAAAACCTATACATTTAATGTCATTGTTTAATATCCACATGCACACACACACACACACACACACACACACACACACTAAAGAAAATGTGACTGTTCATCAATGCATGTATTACCTCTCAGAAGTCAGGAATGGGAGGCTGGGGAGAAGGCTCAAGAGTAAACCACTCCCCCTGCAGGTGTAAGGACTGAATTCAGATCTCCAAAGCTCACCTAAAAGCCAGGTGGGCATAGCAGCCTGCCTACAATCCCAGAGTACAGGAAGCAGGCACAGGAATCCTCAGGCCAAGGTGGCTAGATTGGCCAGAACCAATGACAAAATCTGTCTCAATAAAAAAGGTGGAGATCTATTGAGTTAGACTCCCAAGGTCAACATCAGTCTTCTACACAGACATATGTGTATGTATCCTCACACACATGTCCCCACACATACATTTAAAACTGAGGTCAGGTAAGGCAAAGCACTTGGGAAGAAAAGGCAGTAGGATCACAGTACATTTGCATCTAGCCCAGTCTACATAGGAGTTCCAGTTCTGCCAAAGCAAAGTAGAACTGTTTGAAATACACAGGTAAGAAACCAGGTACAGGGGTGCATGCCTGTAATGCAAGCTTTGGAGAGATGATAGGGAGTTCATTTACTCAGGTACACTGAGGTTAGGGCTTACCTGGACCACAAGACCCTGTTTCAAACTAATAAAAGATAGGTAAGAAATGGCCAACACTGGTTACACCCAGGAAGAGAACAAAGGTGGCTGGGTCACTTTAGGACAATGACTTTTCACACTTTGTTGTCTTTTGGAATTTTTGAATTTCAAACCACAAGAAAATCAACTTAAAGAAAACATATGTAATGGGAGATGAAATAGGCAGTGGGGAGGTGATTGGGGGAGACATTTCACAGACAAGGTGTAGTAGAAAGTGGAAGGGAACCCAGCAAAGCCCTCAGACTCCACAACCCCACGATGTGTTTCAGTCTCTCTCATATCCCACAAGCCCTTCATGTACCCCATGTCAGCTCCTCATTAAACAGCTCTCTGTTCCTCACAAACCTTGACACTGGTGATGTCCCAAAGGTGGACAGGAGTATGCAGGTCTTCAGGAAGGCAGACCCTCCAATGGTAAATGGTAGCATCTGGCTTTAACCAGTCTCTGAATGGGTTAACGCCCACACATGGATAAACACTTGGAGTTTGGAGCTAGAGTCTAGCCTTGGGCCACCGTGACCCCAAGTACAAAGGAAGTAGATGGAGCCAGGTCGCAAGCAGCCAGTTACTATGGAGATATTTGAGTCTTACACTAGTTTGCCCTCTGCCTGTCACTACTGAAGTCATTTAAGGTATTAACATGGGAGCTTTTATGACAAGGAAACTGTATCTTGGGCTAAGAATAAGTCACACATGTGGGAAAGGGAGCTTTTTGAGACAGGGTCTCACGAAGCCCAGGCTGGCCTCAGACTTGCTGAGGATAACTGAACTGATCTTCCTTCCTGCCTCCAGCTTCTAAGCACTGGAATTACAGGCCTGGCCAATTCAGATGGTTTAAACTGTGCCATTTTGTTTGTTTGTTTGTTTGTTTTTACAAAGCAGTGTCAAAGCAGTTCTGGACACACGGGAACCTGGTTCAATTGTTCCAATCTCTATTGTAGCGGTTCCCAACATTCCTAATGTTGTGACTCTTAATGCAATTCCTCATGTTGTGGCAATCACCAACCATAAAATTATTTTTTTGTGTGTTTGCTTCAGTTTTTTCAAGACAGGGTTTCTCTGTGTAACCTTAGTTGTCTCAGAACCCTTGTAGAATAAACTGGCCTCAAACTCACAGAGATCTGCCTGCCTCTGCCTCACAAGTACTAAGATTAAAGATGTGTACCACCATGCCCAACTCCATAAAATTATTGTTGCTACTTCATAACTGTAATTTTGCTACTGTTATGAATTGAAATGTCAACATTTTTGGAGACAGAGGTTTGCCAAAGGGGTTGAGACCCACAAGTTGGGAACCACCATTAATAAATTACATCATTTTAAGGATCAACTAACAGATATTACCCCGAAATATGATGTTACATAGAAGACTCAGGTGACTATATAGAGAAGTTACTCTGTGGTTCCTAGTTCCCTGCTCTTTAGAAGGCCTGAGTTCAGTTTCCAGCACCCACCTCAGGTGGCTCACAAACACCTGTAACTCCAGCTCCAGGGAATCTGACACCTTCTCCTGGCATCCACAGGCAATGCACTCACATATACACATAATTTAAAATAAAAATAAAATCTTTATGAATGATAATTTTCATAAAAAATAAATAAATAGAAAAGTCAGGATGGCAAGATGTTTCAGTGTGTAAGGGAGGGTGTTTGCTACCAAACCTGACCATCTGAGTTCACTCCCCACATGGTGGAAGTTGTTCTGTTACTTACAAACACCCCCCCCCACACACACACATTAAAACATAATACAAAATTTTAAAAAGAGGAGTCATTGCCGAAGCGTTATTTTAGAACATTACAAAAGTATGCACTTATAGGTCTGTAGTCCAAGCTACATCAATTAGGGCTAACAATTAATAGATGAACACTCTCCAGACCCTGTCTGGTGAGCTCTGAATTTTCTGAGAAAGGAAAAGATAAAAATAAATAAATAAATATTTGTTAAAACAAAACAAAAACCTCAAACCCAAATCTTATTTGGTGAATAGTTTTAAATTCTTCCACCAAGTAACAGCCTTTTATCAGAGCTGAGCAAGTCATGGTGAGCTGGTACAAACGCCTTTCCTTCCCACCCTCTGAGAACTGCCCACATGTTCATTACAAAAGCAGAAAGCAAAAAAGAGGAACAAAAGGAATGAGGGGCTTACCCCTGGACTGGGCTGGATAATTCTCCAACTAGATAAACAGAGGCCTCAGCAAAAGCCTGTTTAACAGAACTGAAAGGTAACGGACACATGGCATCTCTTTTTTAGTAGTGGTGAAATGTGCTCAAAAGCATGTCTGACTTTGGAATGTTCAGGATCTAAGGTTTGAGCATCAGTGGCTACTAGTTTTTGCTTTTGTTTTTTTACATTCTATCTGCTGATTTTGTAGGGGTTTGTACATGTACTACAGCATCCACACAGAGGTCAGGGGATAACTGTGGGAGCGGGTTCTCTCCTCTTATCACATGAGTTCTGGGGATCAGACTCAGGCTGCCAGTCTTAGTGGCCAGCACCTTTATCCACTGAGCCATTTCAAAGGCCCCAGTTACTAGTCCTCATTATGAATTAACTAAAGCTTCATGTCTGAGTTCCCAGTAGGACCATGAATAAAGGGCAATGGGAAATTTGGAGGAAAAACTAGTAAATTAACCTCTCTCTTCCATATGGTATATTTTACTGGAATGAGTAAGTGTAAGAGCAACGTGTTCTAAAAATCACCAAAACGGTATCTGATTCCCCAAATGTGGTTGTGTGCTTGCTCACCCAGGGGCTGCCTCATTGTGACTTAAGAGCTGTCAACTGAGAACACTGGAGTATCTGAGTGAAACCAAGGTGCTCCTAAATTTTAAATCAAACCTTCCAATAGCAAGAATCAATCTAGCCAGGTGGTGGTGGCCCTCATCTTCAATCCCAGCACTCAGGAGGGAGAGGCAGGCAGATCTCTGTGAGTTCGAGGCCAGCCTGTTCTACAGAACAAGTTCCAAGACAGCCAGGGCCACACAGAAAAAAACCTTGTCTCAAAAAAAAAAAGGAGGGAAAAGCAATTAATAAATAAAAATTCAGGAGAGAAATCCAGAAACATACTTCCCTAATAGTACATTCCATTTCCTACTGATAGAGGTCACTAAAAAAAAATATTACTAGGAGTCTAAATCAATGCATCATCATTCCTGGTGCCCTCCTTACATAACCCTATTCTAAAATAAACCGTAATCACATGAAGCATAGGTTAAGCATCTACTGCTTTTCTCAAAATTAATACACACACATTTGAATTTGTTCTATCCTACTTGCCCACATGCGATACAGCAAATGTGGGAAATGGAACTAGGGTACATAAACAATAGCTCCCCAAAATATAATTGCTTACATCTACGAAGCCAAGTACAAATATTTCACTAGTAAATTTTCCTACCATATTGACCTTTAATTATACCAAAGCATGAACCTTTAAGGGCACAACAAAGGCCAAATGGTTGTAGCCCATGTGTAATGATCCTTCCTATTTCTCCTCTAGAAATGTAAACACAAGGAAGCAACGAATTCCATGAATTCCTTTTCTCCTTGCCTGAAAGGGTCCTGCACTACAGCCCAGATCCTGCTGGTTTCGGCCACCACACAAGCATGAGGCCTCCAAAGACCAGGCTAGGCTATCTAGAAATCTGCACTGTGTCACTGCGTAAGGCAGCTTCCCAGTGCACACATCCTTAGTGAAGAAAGCCACCTAAGCACTCTGTCGGAGCTCAGCAAGGTGGTAAAATGACTGGAGTTGCTAATGAAATAACAAATAGCAAGGAATACCACCTTTAAAATTCATTTCGACAGTTTTCCTCTTCGTCATCTCACCTTCCTCCTCGCCACCCCCCCACCCCCACTACACTGCAGCTCACCCACAGCTTTGCCAAGTGAAAGGCTGCCAGCTCTGGATGACAGCGGGCCCAGAAGCCATTCAGAGCCTGCAACACAGATATTTTCACCTGAACACATCGGGCCACCCCACCCCCCCACTATACCATCCTCACCACTCACACACACCAAACCCCAAGCCCCAGGAAACCCAGCAGGCTCTTGAGCCAGGGTGGCACCCGTTGCCATCCAAAGAGGACTCGCCCCTGGGCTCCAGAATCCCCTCCCCACTCAGGCCACCAGCACGCCGCCGCCCCGCAGCCAGCCCCTAGTCGATGCCGCGGATGTGCTACCTTTGGACTGGCAATCAGCACAGAATTTGTTATCTTCCTCCAGCAGCAGGTTGGCCAGGACCGCCTGGTACCGATCCACGTCCTTCACCGACTTGCCCGTCATAGCCAGGGTGCCGGCGGGGGCAGAGGGCGACGCGCCCCCCGCGCCCCCAGGAGCCCCTGCCTCGGTCCGGGGCTGAGGCCTCGGGGCCCCCGCCTAGGCGCACCTCCCGAGTGGGACAAGCCGTGTCCTCCCGCCCCGCCCCGAGCCGTCCCGGGGTCAGGGTCTTCTGCCTCCCGCCCCGCAGCCCCTCGGCGCGGCGCCCCCTGGCGGGCCTCGAGCAAGGAGGGGACCCGCGGAGACTGCAGGACCCGGGATGCGGCCTAGGCGGAGTGAGCCCTCGGCCTCAGGCGTGTGGGGCGCACAAACGACCCCGGGGCTGAGGGTCTGCCACCGCACTTCCCGCCTCGGTTTCCCAGGCAGCTGCGGCCAGCTCTGCCGCCACCTCCACCGCCTACTTCCGGCAGCTCTTCCTCTCCTCCTCCGCCCAGCCCAACCCGCGCATGCGCCCCGCCCACCGCTCCGCACTGGGCTGTTCCCTCAGCTCCGCCTCCTAGGAGCCAATCCGGGAAGGGGAGGGGGCGGGGCTTAGGTGAGAGCGGCAGGAGGAAGGACACGCCCCCTTCATGTCCTTGGAAAAGAATGAATGAAGGCTGGTGGGAAAGGAAGGTAAGTGAAGAGAATAAAGTAAAGGTAACTACGAGCACTTACTGAGTTCTTACTGTGTGGTAGGCACTGCGCTGAGCACTTTATGTCAATTATCTCGGTATGCTCTTCACAGCAACCTTTATGAAATGTATAGTTGTTCTCTTTATATAACCCAAGTGTTATGGATATCACAGACGCTCCCAGCTTAGGCCTTCCTTCTAGAGACAAAATAACTCACCCTTTGACCCAAGTTAAAAAGACATTACACCCTCCCACATGATCACTTCTTTTTGTTGTTATTTTCCTTTCCTTTTTGGTTTTTCAAGACAAGTTTTCTCTGTGTAGCCCTGGCTGTCTTGGAGCTCACTCTGTAGACCAGGCTGGTCTCGAACTCGAAGATCTGCCTGCTTCTGCCTCCCACGTGCTGAAATTAAAGGCATGTGCCACCACTGCCCAGCTCTTATTGTCACTTCTAACTTGGAATACCTCCTGCCTACTGATATTCATTAGTCTTTGTCTTGTGACTACCACCCTCTTTGAGCAATGTTCTGCCATTTTGCTTTTCTTCTTAAAAAAAAAAAAAAAATAGTTGTGAACAGGTTCTCCCTATGTACCCCTGGATGGTCTGAACGCCATATTGTGGGCCAGAATAGCCTTGAACTCACAGAGTTTTGCCTACATTTACTTCCAAAGTGCTGTGTGTGTGTGTGTGTGTGTGTGTGTGTGTGTGTGATGTGATGTGTACAGGTTTCCAAGGAGTCCAGAAAAAGGGCATTGTATCTCCTGAAGCTGGAGTTATATGCTGTTATGAGCTTCCAGATTTGCTGACCGATTTGGACGTTAGAAACTGAACCAGGATCCTATGGGAAATTACTGGAGTCTCTCAACTGCTGAACCATCTCTCCAGCCACCTTCTTACTGAAGTCCTCACAAAGCAAAGAAGCAGTTTTGTGGAGAGACTTTCACTAAAGGTTGTTTGGGAGAAAGTCAGTTATAGGTGGGTATGGAATAAGCAACTACTTAAAATGGTTATTAAATATTATTTCCCAAAGCCATTCTTGCTACAGATAATGTATGATGGCTGTCTTGAACCAACTGTCATCTCACTTGGGTTCACATTCCTCCTCTTATTCTTTGAAGGAAAGGAAAAAATCATTCTTTTACTCAACAAATTCTTACAAGAAACAGATAGGAAACTTTTTGATTCTTCTGAACACTGGAGTAGTAGATCAGGGATGCTAGCAAGGCCAAGTGTGCAGCTCCCACTAAGACATCCCTCTTGTCCATCTCTACTTTCTTCAAAGAACAGGTTTCTCTCAAAATGTTTATATTTTTAATGGAAAATGCTTGTTACTTTATTAATCAGAATAGTTTATTACTCTATCCAAAATCTTTCCATTCTAGCTAAGCCTCAAAGAATTTACTTTCATAGGTGTACAGTTCATAAAGTATTTTCCTAAGACAGATCCATCAGACTAGATATCATCTTAGCCATCTTTTAAATATTTTATTACTTTATTTTATTAAGACAGGGTCTCACTATGTAGCCCTGGCTGACCTGAACTCACTATGTAGACTAGGTTAGCTTTGAACTTAAAGAGATCTGCCTGCCTCTGCCTATAAATGCTGGGATTTGAGGAGTTGCAACATTCTGGCCCAGAGATTTTAAATATTCAATGATGCATATGTGTACTTGTATGTGGATGTGTACACATAAGTGCAGGTGCCCTTGGAGGCCAGAAGTGGGTGTCCAAGTTTCTGGAGCTTGAGTTATAGGCGGCTTTGAGCCACCTGACACCTCTTGTTTGACAATCACACTGAACCAACCTCACTGGGATGACACGCACATGCCATGAAGCCTGAGATTCACAGTTCCCATACTATTTTTGTGGCTTTGGCAGATTGCTTAACTTCTCCATGCTGCAGTATTTCATCTATGAAGTAGAAATTATAGCAATGCTAAGAACCAGCTTTGCAGGATTGATGCAAAGCTTTACTGACCTAATACTTCTAACATATCTAGAACAACTCTTAGCACATAAGGAATGATAGGCAATTAATACCTGCTGCTGAATATGTCTGGCTTTTGGCATTATCAGTCTATGATAGTATTTATTTCCTGATCTGTTTGTGGTCAGACATAGTCAATGGGCCAAGCAGAAACATGTCATTTTGGGGGGTTTTTTGTTTGTTTGTTTGGTTGGTTGGTTTTTTGAGACAGGGTTTCTCTGTATTGCTTTGGAGGCTGTCCTGGAACTAGCTCTTGTAGACCAGGCTGGTCTCAAATGCACAGAGATCCACCTGCCTCTGCCTCCCAAGTGCTGGGATTAAAATTGTGTACCACCACTGCCCGGCTCAGAAATACGTCATTTTTATGCCTGAAGCCTTTATTTGCTGCTTTGGCTGAGACACACTATCCACAAAGGTCAGAACAGTTGTGACTATAGAAAACAGAGCCAGTTTCTGATCTCTGTAAGGGCAACCTTTGAGGTTCCAGACTGGGCTGCATAATGATTGCTTGAATTTGTTTCAAATAGGCAAGAGCTCTCTGCTAGTCCACAAAAGATAGGAGGTGATGAGTAACAGAAAAGCCTTCTTTGTGTTAAGTTATGAGTTGTTTTCTCACCAAATTGTAACTTAACTAATCCTACATAAAAGGGTTAGTCAAAGCCAGTTATTGTGCCTGTGATCCCAGCACTTGGTAGGTGGAAGCAAGCAGATCAGGAGTTTAAGGCTAGCCTCAGCTACATAGTGTATATTAGGATCTCCTGGGAGATCCTGTTTCAGAGAGAGAGAGAATCATTAATACTCAGGTATATTTATTCATTCATTCCCTTTGTGTTTGTTTTTGTAGCAGAGTACCTTGCACCATGCCTGGCTCAGAAGTCAGTTTTCTCTTAAGTGGCTATGTTAGAGTAAACACTGCAGCAGTAAAATGCTCAGAGCGCGACTCCAGAGGCACTGTGGGTGAACGTTTTTGGACTATTACCACAGGGAGCTTTCCATTCCTGCACCTTCTAGCTAAGAAAGCAAACCTCTTGAGTCGTATATTGAACTAAAATGGTTTCCAACCCACTGGTTAGTCAGACTACCACTTTAGGGTAATACTAATTAAATGGCTTTGTCATTAAGCAAACTGGACTAATTTTCTGCTTTCCTGTCATCTCCGTGTTAGATGTCACAGTAAGTGGATTCTGGATCTCCAATGAACTCATGGCCCATTCAGCCAACTGCAGCCACTTTTCTTTGGATGTAGAGAATTTGCCATGACTTAGCAGAAGACTGCTCTGCCAGCCTTGAAAATGTGGCTGTACATAAACCAGCTGTGAGCCCTGCTTTCTGGCCCTTCTTTCTGTCTAGAATTCCCATCTGTCCACTTCCACAGCCTGACTCTGAGAAGTGCCTTTGCTGAAGGTGCCTGACAGGACAGGGTCAGTGCTCTTCTTAGTGGCGCTGTGTCCTGATGTTCACACTGCTTGGGATTCCAGCAGTCATTGGTCCCTTCCAGACAGAGAAAGGTGCCCCATTATCTGTTTACACATTGTATTCTAGACTCCAAACTTTCCTCCCTGCTTGTGGACAGTCTCATGAAGACTTTCTTGTGAGCCTATTGGCTGTCTTCCTCCAAAATTGAAGCCCGGGCTCAATGCCAGGACCAGGGAACCTAATGGGAATGGACTTTGTGCTAGGCCAATCTGTCATTCTCCTTACAATAAATTGAGTCCCCCATCTATCAAGCGCCTTTCTCTGCCCTAATTTCACTAAAACCCTCCACAATTATTTAATGACATGGGTGCTGGGAGAGGAGGCTGGACCAGCTGTGTGTAACTATGGCACAGCAGCTCACTGCTGTCACCGGGCCATGCTGATCTTGCTTGCATTATCTCCAGCTACATGATAGTACGGACAGCATCTGAGAGCACTCTCATTTCCCTCTGAACTGTATCAATAGCTCCTGCATTGTCAGGGCCTTACAAAGGACTGGGTAAGCACACCTGGCCTGCTGGGAGGGACACTGAAGGAAAGGAAATCACTCCACACCGCAGTTTATCCGCTGTAAAAAGCAAAACTGGTGGGGGGGGGGGGAGGAGGTAAGGCCAGGAGTTTCCAGAAAGGAAAAACAAGTCACATGTAGAAGGTCCAGAAAGGAGAATAGCACAAAATTCTCAACAACAGCTGTGGAAACCAGGAGACATGGAACAGTGCCTCCAAAATTCTGAGAGAAAGAGTTGCCAACCCAGAATTCCAAGCTAGCTACCCAATCTAGAAGCAGTGTGGAAGAGGGCAGTTTTTTGTTTTGTTTTGTTTGTTTGTTTGTTTGCTATACTTGCTTTCAAAGTTGTACCTCCCCCTGTGGCTGTGTTCTAACACCTCCCCTACACACACACACACACACACACACACACACACACACACACACACACACACTGTCTCTGCCATCATCGCTCCCTGGGCCCCAGAGTCTACAATGGAGAGCATCAGCCAGGTCCCTTGCAGGCAGGTTCCTGGTTGTGCTCAGCCATTAGCCAACAGGAGGAGCAGGCAGCAGACCAGAATGATGCTGAGTTATTTATTTCTCTGCTTTCTTCCTGCTGCCAGAAGCACTTCCTTCCTGTACTGGCCGCCAGCATTCCTGTGAGGAGTGCTTCTCCCACAACTATAGCTCTTACCATGATCTTCCAGAACCCCGCCCCCCCCCCCCCCCCCCCCCCCGTTGCTCCAGAGTCTGAGGGTAACAGCTTTTTGGTGAGGCTGCCCTCAAGATTTTGAGGACTTTCCTTAACTGCCACTTTCAGACTGGCCACGAGCTCCTGCTCAGATCCTTGCCAAGCCACCTCCTAGGCATACAACTA